GGTGACAGCGAAACTCCGTCTCAAAAAAAAAAAAAAAAAAAAAAAATCATTTTTGGGTTGCTCTTTGCTTAATGGATAGAAAGATTGATTTTTGTTTATTGACCTTTTATTGTGAAACCTTATAATACTTGTTTATTAGCTGTAACAGTGTTTTTAGGTTCCTTAGAATTTTCCCTATATAAAATCATGGCATCTGTGAACAGTGATAGTTTTACTTTTTTATTTCCAATATTTATGCCTTTTATTTCTTGTTCTTGCCTAATTTCCCTTGCTACAATCTCTAGTATAATGTTAAATAGAAGTGGCAAGATTGAGTATCCTTGTCTTGTTTCTGATCTTATGGGGAAAGCTTTCAGTCTTTCACCATTAAGTACAGTGTTAGCTGTGGGGCTTACTTAGGTGTCCTTTTATTAGACTGAGAAGTCACCTTCTATTCCTGGTGTGTTGAGTGTTTTTATCATGAAAGTATGATGGATTTTGTCAAATGATTTTCTGCCTCTATTGAAATATGTGGTTTTTCTCCTTGATTCTATCAATATGGGGTATTACATTAATTGACCCTCATATATTGAACCAGCTTTGTATTCTGGGATAATTTCCACTTGGTAATGATATATAACACTTTTCATATGTTGCTGGATTCAGTTTGCTAGTATTTCATTGAAAAATTTTGTGTCTATATTCAAAAGAGATACTGGTCTGAACTTTTCTTGCATCGACTTTTTTCTGGTTTGGGTATCAGGATATTGGCCTCATAGAATGAATTGAATAAGTGTTCCTTACTCTTCTAGTTTTGGAAGAATTTCTGAAGGTTTGGTGTTAATTCTTCTTTACATATTAGGTACATATTTTTTACATATTAGGTACATATTCACTAGGGAAGCCATCTGGTTCTGGGCATTTTTGTGTGTGGAAGGTTTTTGATTACTAATGCAGTCTCTTGTTATAGTTCTATTCAGATTTTCTATGTGTTCTTGAATCAGTTTTAGTAGTTTTTGTCTAGAAATTTGTCCATTTCATCTAGGTTGTCTAATTTGTGGGAAAATAATTGCTCACAATATTCTCTTTAATACTTTCTATTTCTATAAGGTTAGTAGTGGTGTGTCCTGTTATATTCCTGATTCTAGTTATTTTCACCTTACCTCATTTTTCTTGGTCAGTCCAGCCAAAAATTTTTCACTTTTGTGGATCTTTTCAAATAATCAACTCTGGTTTTGTTGACTTTTCTCCTGTGCTCTTATATTCTCCATTTCATTAATATCCACTCTGATCTTTATTATTTTCTTCTGCTTGCTTCGCTATTCTTCTTTTTCTTGTTTTTTTAAAGTAGAAGATTAGGTTATTTTGGGATTTCATCTTTTTTAAGTATAAACATTTACAGCAATAGATTTCCTCTAAGTACTGCTTTATCCGCATCCCATAAGATTTGGCATGCTGTGTTTCTTTTTGTTTTCATTTATATCAAAGTATTTTCTAATTTCCCTTTTGATTTCTTCTTTGACCTTTGGTTTTTAGAGTATATTGTTATTTCCACATATTTGTGATTTTCCCAAATTTCCTTATATTATTTTTAATTTTATTCAAGTGTCAAATACTTTGTATAACTTCAATCCCTTTAAATTTATTGAGACTTGCTTATGGTCTAACATATAACCTATCCTGGAGAATGTTCCATGTGATTGGCTTTTGTTGGGTGGAGTGTTGGGTGTCTGTTAGCTTCTAATTGGTTTACAATATTGTTCAAGTCTTCTGTTTCCTTATTGATTTTCTATTCTATTATTTAAAGTGAAGTCTTGAAATCTTCAATTATTACCGTTGAGTTATTTAATTTCCTTTCCATTCTGTCAGCTTTTCTTTCATGTGTTTTGAGGTTCATTGATAGGGGCATCATATATGTTTATAATTGCTATGGTTTCTTGATAGATTGACCCTTATATCATTATAGAATATCCTTTTTTGTCTCTGAAAATTTTGTCTTAAAGTATGTTTTGTCTGATAGTAGTATAGGTTAATTCTATTCTCATCTTGAAGGATAGTTTTGTTGGATTTACAATTCTTTCTTGGCTACTCTTTTTCTTTCAGCACTTTGAATGTGTCATTCCACTGCCTTTTGATCTCCATGAAAATCAGCTGTTAATTTTATCACTTTGCATGTGATGAGTCTATGCACTTTTAAGATTCTCTATCTTTCAAATGTATATGATGTGACTAGGTTTGGATTTCTTTGAATTTATTCTATTTGGCGTTCATTGTGATTGTTGGATATATAGATTCATGTTTTTCTTAAATTCGTGAAGTTTTGGGTCATTCTGTCTTCAAATAATCTTTCTTCCCCCTTTTTCCTTTCCTTCTGGAACTTTTATTATGTATGTGTTTGTCTGCTTGATGGTGTTCCCACATGAATAAAAATGGGAATCTATTCATTTTTATCCATTTTTTCTTTCTGTAATCTCTATTAATCTATTTTCAAGTTTACAAATTCTTCCTTCTGCTAGCTCAAATCTGCTTTTGAACACCCTCTTATGAATTTTTCCTTTCAGTTATCATCCTTGTCAACTGTAGAATTTCTATTTTAAAAATTTCTATTTTTAATATTCTTTATCTGATGAGACATTGTTTTTGAGCTTTAATTCTTTAGAGATGATTTCCTTTAGTTTTTGAATCTATCTAAAATAGATTTTTTAAAATATTTAGTAAATCTAACATCTGGGCTTCCTCAGGGACAGTTTCTGTTGACTTAACTTTTTAATATTTTTGTACATTTCATAATTTGAAAACTGAACATTTTAAATAATGTGATGTGGCAGCTCTAGAAATCATGTATCTTTCTTTTCCTGGAGTTGGTTGTTGATGCTGTTTGTTTGCTTAGTGACTTTCCTTAATAAATTCTGTAAAGTCTGTATTCTTTGTCATGTCTGGCCACTGAAGTCTCTGCTCAGTTAGCTTAGTGTTCAGCTAATGACTAGATAGAGATTTCTTTAAATGTCTTAAGCCAGTAAGTCTCCTGGCGTTTACCAAGGGGCACTGTGTGCATGTTGGGACACAACCTTCAACTATGTGACAGGCAGTTTACAACTCTGCCTTCGCCTTTACTTTCTGCTTATGCAGATCCTCCAAGTCAGCCAGAGGTGAGGGATAGGTCCTTCTCAGGCCTTTCCCAGGCATGCATGCAGCCCTGCTCATGATAGTGGCCTTGTAGATTGCCAGGAATATATTAGAGATTTTCAAAGCCCCATATGGACATCTCATTTCCCAGCTTTCCCTTTTAAGTGTTTTGGTCAGCTGCTGCTTTGCTTCAACTGTTATCACAGCCTCAGGCCGCTGCAATGTTGAACAATTGCTGATGGTTGTTTTCAACAAATGCCCCAGGGGAAAAATTGTGTGTAGTGTGTGAATTCTGAGTCAGGTCAAATGAAGATAAGCCTTATAAGTAGGTGTTTCCAGGGAAATGCCAACAGGATAGCTAATGATAGTTCTCTGGTGATGGAGCTTTTGGGAGGCTACAAATGCTTCTCACCCTCTCCATGGTACTGTGGTGTGAGGCTGTTGCTTTCAAGGCTACTTCAGGTCTTAGGAAAGGACCATGGGATTAGGGTGCATTAAAACACCACAAAGCTTGGTTCTCACTGATATTTAGTAGGTTTTTTGTTGTTGTTGTTTTTTGTTTTTGTTTTTTTTTTAATAAACATTCCTTGGATTTTGCAAGCATCTGGTTCATTTCACATATTCTGAAAAAACGATATTTACAATTTTTGCCAGTGTTCTCGTTGCTTTTATGGAGGAGCAGTTTTCTGCAGGCCCTTACTCCACCTTTCTCACCGATGTCCAGGTCTTTTTCTTAAAGCACAAAATAGCAACATGTTCATTTATTATATAAACAATATAATATCAACAAACAAACATGCACAAAAACTTTTTAACTTACAATCTTACCCGTTTAACACATCAACTGTTCTTGTATTTTAAATTCCATTTCTTACCTACCGACATGAATTCTTTTGGTACTGTTACAGTCTAGATTTACTCTCAAATTTACTTCTGTTACTTTACATCACTGTTTCTTATGTTTCTTCATAATTTGTAGAATGAACATTTTAATGATTAATATTCTGTCAGGGTCATGTGCCATAATAATTTCACTGTCCTTTTTATGACGCTTTAGGAGTTTTCAACCTTACTGGTGTTATAAATAAAGTTACTTACACTACAAGCATGTACTTGTTTGAAAAAATATTTCCTTAGGGTAAATTCTGTATAGTAATGTTTGCTATCAAAGGCTATAAACATTTTATGCCTCAAGTTATTTCTAAAAGGAATGTAGGAATTTATATTTCCATCAACAATATTTCTTTATATTGACACTAACATTGATATTGTTTTTAATTTAATAAAATATATAAAAGTATATTAAAACTTAAGGTTGAACAACTTTTATGTTTTCTTAGTTTTATGTGAATTTTCTGTTGTTGTGGTCTTAAAAGTGATATAGCCATATCTATAAACATGGTGGTCAGTATTTTCTTCACTTCTGAAAAATAGATTATCATATAGCATTTGCATTAAGTTGAAGCCACTTATAAATTGTTTTCCTTAACATTAACATGTCTATTAATCTTTGTCACGATTTTTAGAAGTGCTAAATGACATATTTTATCCTAGCAAGAAATCTACCCTTTTAATGCTTCTTAGAAGCTAGTAATGTCATAGATTTCAGATATTACCAAAAAGTCCCTTTTAACCTCAGCTACAATTTAAAGCATCAGTGACTTTTGTCAATGTATTGAATAATAGTATACAGTTTCTTGAGGAAAACGTATGTTGAATGTTACACAGTTATTGTGCAAACAAACTTCTAGAAGGTACCACTTTAAAAGTTGAGGATTTCTTATTTGGTAATTGAACCAGTGAAAATTTTACCTGAAATTGGTGACTTTCTACAAATTCCACAACTTTGTTTTTTCCCTTACAACCTAATCTGTTGTTTTTGCTTTTTTCCCCAGTTTAAGGCCAATCGTCCTGCTGTGACTTTTGAATTAACTGGGGAGACAGACAACATATTCAAGATAGAACGGGAGGGACTTCTGTATTACACCAAAGCCTTGGACAGGGAAACAAGATCCACACACAATCTCCAGGTAAATTGAGACCAGGTGAAGGGATCTAACTCCAACCTCTGCGAGCACCCTTTGTTCTGGAAGTATCGCTGGCATCTTCCTCCCTTGCATAGAATCCAGTTACAACTTTCCTTACATTAATGGCACACTTTGCAATCCTTATATGTCCGTTTCTTACCAACTACAGAGAGGTGTGGCAAACATATCCTTTTCCTTAGGCTTTTTAACCAGAGTAACCCCACTTACATTGCCAGGACCCTCTGATGGCATTACTTATCCAAGTAAGACCATGCTTAGGTACTTGGATCAAAAGTCAGCACATCTGTGATACTTCACTGGTATCTGCCTGCGGCTCTTGCATTGGCTTGGGACCCATGAAGAAGGCTGCATTGGCGCTAGGATGGAGCTACTTTGGGCATTGGAAGAAGCAGAAGGAACCAATAGCCAGAAGCTGACTAAAAAGATCCTTCTCCCTCTCTTTCTCCTTTAGTTTTCACTGTTGGTATCTGAATACCTACGAAAGGCAGAGAGCTAACTATGGAAAAAAGAGTGAGATAAAAGCTTTCTGTCTGGTACTTCTGCTGCAGGCCTTGCAGGCTGACCACCATAATGGCTCTGGAAGAGAACCCGACACTTTCATATTCTCAGGGGTCACAGTGCTCTTGTTTCATGGACTCCAGCCATCCAGAATAGATGCATGTTCAGTGTCCAGAACACCCTGCTAATAGAAAGTCACCGTCATTATTAGCCAGGCTTGACTGATACAACCCCTATTTTAGCAGCTCCCAATTTGGGCTTTTGTGAGTTCTTTCTGTCCTGCAGTCACCAGGCCATTGGTTCTTTGAGTTCTAATTTCCTTCAAATGATTTTCGGGCATGTGACATGAAGTTCAGTCTCACCAACATGGTTTCCTTTTCCTCAACATCAGGTTGCAGCCCTGGATGCTAATGGAGCTATAGTGGAGGGTCCAGTCCCCATCACCATAGAAGTGAAGGACGTCAATGACAATCGACCCACGTTTCTCCAGTCAAAGTACGAAGGCTCAGTAAGGCAGAACTCTCGCCCAGGTAACAGGCAGGGGCCAGAGATATTTATGGAAAGATGGAAGGGTGTCAGGTGGAAGGGGCAGACTTGTGTGGCTAACGGCTGCAGCTGTCACTCAATAAGCACTATCTTACCCACATTTCATACTGATCTGGGAGTTGTTTGACTATCTCTATTGCTCCAGAGCATGGTCTCTCAACGTCTCAACACAGCACTACGTATTGACATCTTGGGTCTGATCATTCTATTTTTGGTCAGAGGCTATTCTGTGCCTTGTAGGATGATTGGCAGCATCCCCCTGACCTCTATCCACTATGTGCCCCCTGCCAAGTTGTGACAATAAAAATGTCTCCAGGCATTGCCAAATGTCCTCTGGTGGGTGGAGGGCACAAAATCCCAGCACTTTGGGAGGCCAAGGCGGGACGATCACTTAAGCCAGGAGTTTGAGACCAGCTTGGGCAACAAAGTGAGATCCTGTCTCTACAAAAAATAAGAAAGTTTGCTAGGTGTGGTGGTGCATGCCTGTAGTCCCAGCTACTTGGGAGGCTGAGGTGGCACAATCACTTGAGCCCAGGAGATTGAGGCTGTAGTAAGTCATGATCACACTATTGCACTTGGTCTGTGCAACAGAGTGAGATTCTGTCTCAAAAATTACCCCCAGTTGAAAAACACTTTTCTAGGGTGATCTTACAGATACTTCAGAGCTCTAGAACACTCTAGAAAGCTGAGCTTACTCCCCTGTATCTTCTGAGGAACCTCCATTGATATTGTCACTGGTGGTTTCCAGCTCTTTTTTTCTCTTACATCCCATCTATGGCTCAGCCCTTTTCTATGCTACATTGACCTTCTACCTTTCACTTCCACAAGAGCTCTCCATTAAGGAGTGAGTGTGTCCAGCAGGCACCTAGAAAGAAGCATCACCTCCTAAGAGTTGCACAAAACATAAATGAATATTAGACTTCAGAGTTCTCAGAAATATGGTTATACGTATCAACATTTACTGTATTAGAAATTTTAAAGATATTCATTTAAACTAATACTAATCAAGACTTGGGGCCATTTGCATAATCCCACCATCAAGCTTCGCTTCAAGTTACTTAATCTTTTCCTTCTCTTTCTTCAATGCCTGCCTCTGAGAATTCTGGGAAAAAATTCACTTCACTTTACTATGTGGAGTGATGTCCCTGTCCCTGAGGCTGCATACCAAAGACTCACACAGACTCTGCTAAATGTGAAGCCTCCAGGCCATACCTTTTCTATCTTCACTAATAGAATCTGCTAGAGAAGTGGCTCTCAAACTTTTTGGTTTCAGGACTTGTATATTCTCTTAAAATTTACTGAGGACTCCAAAGAACTTTTAGATACGTGGGTTATATCCAGTGGTGTCCTGGTAAAGGCATAACAGCTACTTTTCTGGGGGGACAAAGCTCTGATTTGTAGAATTTTCCAATTTCCATGTTACAAATACTCCTACCATGGCCTATTTCAAGTACCATGGCCTATTTGAAGTGACCATTGGTATTAATAATTGACACACAACATTTCTGAAAATTCAACAACTGAGTCTCATGAGGCGTCTCTACTACATCACTGGTTATATCTATCAACATTTACTGTATTAGAAATTTTAAAAAATTATTAATTCATTTAAAATAACACTAAACATGTTTTAATGAAAAATAATTGATTTTAAAGACAAAAATAGTGAGAAAAATGGTATTGCTTTAATCTTTGCAAATCTCTTTAATGTCTGGATTAATAGAAAACACTTGGATTCTCATGTCTTGTTTCTACATTCATTCTCTTGCCATGTGCTAGTTTAGCTGAAGTATACGAAGGAAAATTAGCCTCACACAGATATGCAGTTGGACAAGAAAGGAATATTTTAATAGTATTTTCAGAAAACTGGACATTCTTTAGTACTATACCCAAACTCAATAAATTGTGGTTTCTTAAAGATTAGTTGCAAAGTGAAATCAATATCAATGCCATATTTTCCATTCTTTTACACTAAAAGTCATTAAATTATCTTGTACTTTAAATGGATCTTTTACACATACATGACCTTAAGCTTTACAGAGCGTTTGAACAGTTTCAGGGACCCTTAGAGGTTCTTGGACCAGACCTTGAGAAACCTTATTTTAGGGAAGGGGAGTGGGATAAATATTTATTTCCACACTGGTGTGAATTGTCCTAACTTTCCCTATTATATATCCACTTTTTACATGGAACGAGTAGCTATGGTTGGTTTGGGTTTCAATTAATATCTTGTTTTTTTTTTCTGGTTATGTTTTGTTAAACAGGAAAGCCCTTCTTGTATGTCAATGCCACAGACCTGGATGATCCGGCCACTCCCAATGGCCAGCTTTCTTACCAGATTGTCATCCAGCTTCCTATGATCAACAATGTCATGTATTTCCAGATCAACAACAAAACGGGAGCCATCTCTCTTACCCGAGAAGGTATGTTCAGGGGTGCCCTGGTAGGACTGTCTCAGTCAGAAAAAGGGAGTTGGGTCTGTCCCTTCCAGAGATGCTTCCTATTCCCTTCTCCCCTACTTCTCATAGGATCTCAGGAATTGAACCCTGCTAAGAATCCTTCCTATAATCTGGTGATCTCAGTGAAGGACATGGGAGGCCAGAGTGAGAATTCCTTCAGTGATACCACATCTGTGGATATCATAGTGACAGAGAATATTTGGAAAGCACCAGAACCTGTGGAGATGGTGGAAAACTCGACTGATCCTCACCCCATCAAAATCACTCAGGTAGTACCCAAGCCCAAGTAACACTGACAGCCAACTAGAGAAATGGCTTCACTTTGTAGAGACCCACCATAAAGGTCTTCACTGATACACTTATTAGATACATTTTTGCATAGCATGATTATAAAGCAAATTATATAGCCTCTGACCCCGAGTCACTGGACTTGACCATGCCTCATGGGCAGGAAACTTGGATGCAGATACTGTGTTAGGCCATTTTTGCATTGCTATAAAGAAATACCTGAGGTAGGTAATTCATAAAGAAAAGTTTAATTGGCTCATGGTTTTGCAGGTTGTTCAAGCATGGCTCTGTCATTGGCTTCTGTTGAGGGCCTTGGGAAAATTACGATCACAGCAGAAAGCAAAAGGGGAGCAGGAGCATCACATGATGACAGTGGGAGCAAGAGAGTTAGGCGGGAGATGCCACACACATTTAAGCACCAGGTCTCATGTGAACTCAGAGTGAGAACTCACTTTATCACCTAGGGCATGGTTCTAAGCCATTCACGGGGGATCCGCCCCCATGATCCAATCACCTCCCACTGGGCCTCACCTCCAATACTGGGGATTACATTTCAACATGAGATTTGGAGGGGGAAAACATCCAAACTACATCAGATATATACTTTTGCTTTCAGAGAGAACTTCACTCACCCTCACCTTAAAAGTAGACAGCAGTGACGTTTGTTGTTCCCTGTTAGCAGTGTGGGATATGGCTGCCCTGCAGTGGGTCATATATGGTGCACACATTGTATGTATGAACATAGTTTGATTTGGGGGTTGCAAATAGTTTTGAAAGGCTGCTCATTCTTATTGTGGGAAAAATCTTGACCCAATAGACTTGTCCCATCATAGGCTGAGGGACAGAGATAGGACTGGCTAGGGGTAAAAGGATCATAGTAGGGAACCTTTCCCCTTGGAAACTCCCCACACCTGGCATTCTGTCTCCTGCGTGTGCCTCTCCCCTCTGTTCAGATGCTCCTACTTCCCCACCTCTGTGGCATGTGCTCTCACCCTGGGCCCCTTCCTACCTTAGCTCCTGGAAATTCACTCTGGACTCCACCCAGATTTGATATTTTCTGGAAGCCCAGGAAATTTCTCCACATGAAAGCTGTGGGTTAGTGGGACATCCCTGGATTTGGAAGCAGATTAACAAAATCATATTCCTGTTCCATTACTTAAATGACTGATCATAAACAAGTCATTTAACTATTCTGAGCCCCAGTGTCTCATCAATAAAATAGGGATAATGATTCAGTGTTTTGTGAAGATTAACTGCGATAGTATCTGTAAAAGTAGATAAAATTATTAGATATTAAAAGATAAGAAGTACTAGTCTGTGGTTCCCCTAAATTTTTTTAATGCTACTATTGTTAAGGGGCCCTGGAATGGCCTATTCCATCATATTTATTGAGATGGGCCCAGGGACATTTATTTATTGAATGTTGAATTAATGAACTTCAACTTCAGGAGGGAAAAAAAAGGAAGAACAGCAGAAAGAATTCTGATTTCCCAGTTAGAAAGAAAGCATGTCAACACTCATTACCATGAGAATTTCTGATTGGTGGCCTAGACTAAAGTCTTCATAGCTGTTATTCAAGTTACTCCCATAGGGATTTGTAAATGCTGCCAAGAACTCATGCTTAGTTGACTTGAGGCTGCCAAGAAAACATTCTAGAGTGTCTACCCAATTTTCAGGCCTGGAAAAAATGCTCTGGGTGTTCTGAAACCCAAAAGGAGAGAGGGAGAGAAGGAGGGAGGGAGGGAGGGTGAGTGGAAGGAAGGGGGGAGGAGAGGGAGGAGGAGGGAAGCGGAGTAGGGGAGAGGAACTCAGGCTGAATTTTTAGAACACAAGAGGAGCCCACTTTATAACCAAGCAGGTAGTCTTTGCGTGGACAATGCATGATGCTTAAATAATTAGCAAGGGACAAAGTTGCTTCTGTGATACCGTCCCAGGCTGCTCTGAGAATAGTTTATTGTGAAAATTTCAACTAGCAGTAGGACGTTGGGCAAATCACTTAAATTTTTTGTGCCCTAGTTTCTTCATTGTAAAATGGAGATAACAGTAGTCTGTACTTCAGAGGACTGTTTGGAGATTAAATGAGATAACACATAAATATGTTTAGAATTGTGTCTGGCATGTGGCAAACTTAGTAAACATTATTGATATATCAGACCAGGCTCTGTCTATATAGCAAGTAGATTGGTCTTACTTGTGTTATTTTTTATTTTTGCCAGGTTGTTTACAAACAACCCTAGGAATTGGCAGTTATTCTCATCCCTGAAGTCTCTGAGGCTAAAAATTTAGGAAAGGAATGTCCTTATTTTTGTATCATTTGTCTTACTTAATGGCATGGAGAAGATTTCAGAGTGGCCTCTATTGCCCCTGTTCATCTTCATTGTTGAGTGTTAGATGCTCACCATACATCACGGCTTGGTCCTCAGACACTGCCAACTACAAAGTATATTTTGTTTCTTAACTTGATGGTTCATGGATAGAAAGTTTTCACAGTCAGACTTCCAAAAGAAACCCTGTAGAGGGTTTGTGAGGAATTGCTTTAAAGAAGAAACATTTCCTGGTGTGCTTTTTTCGAGCAATATAACTTGGTGGGGTGAAACAGGCTTATTTTAGATTAAAAGTGAAAAATATAATTCAGTTGTTATAAGAAACCACAGACATACAAGGTTGTCAGAGATTTCAAATTGAGAACCAGAAAATTATTTGCTTTCCAGTTCTCTCAGTCCAAATGTAGCTTTCCTCACAACTGACTTTGGGTCCTGTAGGTGCGGTGGAATGATCCCGGTGCACAATATTCCTTAGTTGACAAAGAGAAGCTGCCAAGATTCCCATTTTCAATTGACCAGGAAGGAGATATTTACGTGACTCAGCCCTTGGACCGAGAAGAAAAGGATGCAGTGAGTAAAAGAGAATAATTTCACAGGCGACAAGACAAAGTCCTATGCCCATCTACAGTTGAGAGCAAAATGGATTTTACTTTAAAAAAAAAACACACACGCACACATACATTTCAGACTCCAGCATATTATTGGTTTTCAAAGACATGATAATTTTCACATAATTCTGACCCATCTCATTTTTTTTATCTCCCAGTTCTAAGTGAATTAAAAATAAGGGAGTAAATGACATAGAAATGAAACAGCGATTTTCTCTGTCTTTGGCAGAGGGTGGTGGGTGAGTCTTGTCTTAACTCTGACTTTCCTGTTGTAGTATGTTTTTTATGCAGTTGCAAAGGATGAGTATGGAAAACCACTTTCATATCCACTGGAAATTCATGTAAAAGTTCAAGACATTAATGATAATCCACCTACATGTCCATCACCAGTAACCGTATTTGAGGTCCAGGAGAATGAACGACTGGGTAAGAAATGAGAGCTGCTTAATGCTGTTTAACTTCCCTGCATTTCTCTCCTCTGCTGGGTAAAATGTGAGCAGGAGACCTTACTGGGAGTCAATAATCCATGCCTTCTACAGCATGGAGGTTGACTGTACCTTGGGAGTCATGTAGGGACCGTATTTGGGATCAAACGGTATCTGGATAGTATTCTTAAATTGGGGCTTTTATAACTACCACTACCACTACACCATTATCACTATTATTATCACCCTTGCCACTATCATTAGTATCACAGCCACCTATACTAGTATCTTATATACATGTATATAGGGGTATCTCATTTGCAGGATTTCCCCATACATTATTTGACCTCTAATAATCTCATTAAAGAGATAATCTCATCACATTTGCCAAAGAATTTAAACATTTACACCCAAAGTCAGACAGACACCCTGCAAGAAGTAAGCAATACCAGTGGAAGTTGACTTTTGACCCTTGGGCGCCCCTCTCTAGGAAGCTGATAATATAATTCAAGAGGCTGCTAGATGAAGTCAAGTCCCATCTATTTTTATCATTTTTGCTTCGTCTTGCTATGTTTTCTTTTACTGTGTCCTGTGATAGCTTTTTAGTTTTTCTATAGGAACAACTACTGTCAGAACATTATAATTTCTGGGACTTTTATGGCTTCTCTGGGTTTGGGACAAGGCTTGTCTATTTCCCCCTTGGCGGTGAGCCCCTTGACTGAGCAGACTGGCATTTCTTGAAATGTTTTGTTCTGTTGTGCTGTGTACATTTCAGAGGCTTTACAAGTGTAGCAGCCTCACGACTATCATTTCTAGAGCTTTGCTGCCCTTGTGGGCAGATCCTCCTGTGCTTTGTGGACGGGCTCATATTTTCTTTTGGTTCCCCCGCTCCTCACCAGACACCTCTGACAGAGTGGGTGCCTTCCTGGAGGTTTGGTGGGTGCTGCTGGAGTGGCTTGCTCACACTGCTCATTATTTTTCTTCTTGCTGTCAGGTGTCATGTGGCTACCTTTTGTCAGTGTGTTCTGTGTCACTGTGTTCTGTGCAGGTCCTCTCTTTGATTGTTTTCAACTCCTGCCACAACAGGGAGAGTTAGTGCCAGCTTGAAGGATTTCAGTTCATTATAAGGAAGAATCTTCTCACAGTCACAATTGTGTAACAATGGAATGTGTAACAATAGCCAACAAACACGTGTGCCATCACCTTCTTGGGAAATCTGGGATGTTCTGTGACACTGAATAAAGGTGGAAAATCTTGACAACCTTTCTTGACCTGGACATGACACTTCAAGCCTCTTTTACATTGGGCCAAACATGTACTGCATTTGTTACCTATTTCTGCAAAACAGATTGCCCTAAAGCTTGGCAGCTTAAAACAACAAACATGTATTATGTCACAGTTTCTGTGAGTTCGGAATCTGGGTGAAGTTCAGCTGGGTACCTCTAATTCAGAGAGTTCTGAGGGAGAGGGAAAGAGTACAGCAGAGCAGGAAAGGACAGGCAAGATGGAAGTCAATCTTTCTATGACCTAATCTTGGAAGCGATCCCATCACTTTTGCCATTAGAAACAAGTTGCTAGGCCCAGCCTGCACGCAACAGGATGGGGTTATGAAACAGTACAAATATCAGGAGATGGGGGTTGCTGGGAGCCCTTTTAGAGGCGCCTACCTCATCTGGGAAGAGGACAGTGCTGGTTTTCTTAAGACTAAAGAAGTCATTGTTGGTAGAATAAATTTTGAAGGGGCTCAGCATGCTATTTGCCTCTCTAAAGGTGAGAATTCATTTCGTAAAAATATTTCAGAGTCTTTAGTGAACCAAGAGTTCTTATAAATCAACTGAGCATATTCTATATGTGTAACCTGAAAGAGGTACAAGACAATGCTCCTACCTTGTGGGGACTTACTGTCTAGCTGAGCTGACAGGACATGAGTAGGTGAAAATATTCACAAATTAAACCTTGATAAAATACTGAATTAGGCCAGGTGCAGTGGCTCATGCTTGTAATTCCCACCCAGCACTTTGGGAGGCCAAGATGAGCAGATCACTTGAGAAGAGTTCAAGACCAGCCTGGCCAACATGGCAAAACCCTGTCTCTACTAAAAAAAAAAAAAAAAAAAAACCTACAAAAATTATCCAGGTGTGGTGGTGCACGCCTGTAATCCCAACTACTTGGGAGGCTTAGGCATGAGAATTGCTTGGACCTGGGAGGTGGAGATTGCAGTGAGCTGAGATCATGCCACCGTGCTCCAGCCCGGATAACAGAGTGAGACTCCGTCTCAAAAAAAAAAAAAAAAAAAAAAGGATTCTCCAGTGTATTTACATTCTCCGGTTTGGTATCTTGTGGGACTCCTGTCCCCAAGTCTTAGCAACACTAACATTTGTTCTTGAATCCCACTTGCCACCAAGTCTTATGTATTCACACAGAAAATTTAGACTCTCATAAAAGCCCCACCTCCCTAAATATTTCTGCATATTTCCAAGATATGCTACATATACTCCTGTATCAGTTTGAGCTGCCACTTGTTCCTGGCCTCAGTCACTCAGAGACATGGTTCCTTTCACTTCCAACTGATCCACAAGTCCTCATGGTGCCTCTGGCAGCATGGAGGTTTCCTGTGAGTGACAGGAGGACAGTGTCCTCAGTTTCTTGCTCATTTGCTGAGGGGATAGAGCTATGGCAGGGCTGCTGAGACACCAAAGGACCACAGAATTTAGTAAGACACTCTTTCATCCCAGCACACAGATACTTTTCTTGCAAGGGCATATGCATGCCATATGCACTAGACACGTATTCTCTTCTGTCCTATTTCTTCTGATGGTCCCTGCATGCAGCCCATGAGACACATCTGCATGTGTCCAGCTCTACTGTAGATATAACATAGGTACTTTCTTTTTCCTCCCCCAACCCAAAACCAAAAAACCTCTAAATTTCCATATATGTCAGTGGATGCAAACTGTGTCAGTGGATGGGTGAGAGGGTGTAACTACACAAATGGGATGAATTCAAGTTTGAGCTCCTACATGGGATTCTTGCTGCATATAAAAAGACCCACAATTCTCACCTCCCAGAGTAGGATGGTCTGGAAGCTGTCGGAACTCGCCCAGAGCTGGGTGCAGAACCAAGTCATAGCCACTGGCATGTAGAACTCCCTGGACTGAAACCCTGACAGGAATGAAATACTTAGGACCACAAACCACAGCATGGCAGAGAGGATCCTGCCTGGTCTCTGCCCTGTGTTATCTTTGATGTAGAGTCAGTCTCTGCAATTGTTCCATGAAGTTGCTTAGAGGCAATCTAGGGTTGGCTTCTCTTTGTTTAGTGATACCATTTGCCATATGTATTAATGTCCTAGGGCTACAGTAACAAAACACCACTGACTTGGTGGTTTAAAACAGAAATCTGCTCTCTCCTAGTCCTGGAGGCTGGAAGTCTGAAGTCAAGGTGCTTGCAGGGCCGCATTCCCTCCAGAGTCTCAAGGGGAGAATCTTTCCTTGCCTCTTCTGGCTTCTGTTGGCATCTAGTGTTCCCTGGCTACTTGTGGCAGCCTATCTCCAACTTCCGGCTTCCTCCTCCAGATCATTTCCTCCTGTGTGTGCATCTCTGTGTTTTCCTTCTTACAGGTACACCTGTCATTGGATTTAGGGCTGCCTCTAAATCCAGGATTCATCTCCAGAGCCTTAACTAGTGATATCTGTGAAGGCCCTATTTGCAAATGAGTCCCATGCTCAGGTTCTGGTAAACATGAAGTTTTGGGAGGGAGCACTAGGTGTTACAGGCTGAATATGTCCCCCATGCCCGCAAAATTATATGTTGAGGTCATAACCTTCTGTTCTAGGCTACATGTTCCCCCTCCCCCAGATTCATAGGGTGAAATTTTAACCCCTAGTACCTCAGAATGTGACTATATTTGGAGATAAGGTTTTTAAAGAGGTCATGAAGGTAAAATGTCCTTACGGTGGGCCCTAATCCAGTATGACTGGTATCGTTGTAAGAGGAAATGTGGACATAGGGAGGTTCAGGAGGAAGGTGCTGTGAAGGCACCGGAAGGAAAAGACAGCCACCCACAAGCCCAGGAGAAGCCTCGGAAGAAACCAACCCCTGCAACACCTTGATCGCAGACTTCTGTCCTCCAGAACTGTGAGAAAATAAGTCTCTGTTGTTTTATCCGTGATACTTAATGACAGCCCTGGCTGACTAATACACTATTCAACCCATTACATGATAGGATGAGAAGAATCAAAATAAATCTAAGAACGTTTGTCTGCTATCCCGAGTTATTCATGGTGTTTTCTAGGAATGTGCTTATTCAGTGAAACTATTTTAATTACATGGAGACTGTAATGGTTGGATTTCCTTCTTTCCTTCCTCATAGGTAACAGTATTGGGACCCTTACTGCACATGACAGCGATGAAGAAAATACTGCCAACAGTTTGTTGAACTACAGAATTGTGGAGCAAACTCCCAAACTTCCCATGGATGGACTCTTCCTAATCCAAACCTATGCTGGAATGTTACAGTTAGCTAAACAGTCCTTGAAGAAGCAAGATACTCCTCAGTACAACCTAACGATAGAGGTGTCTGACAAAGGTTAGTATCGCTCCACTGTCTTGAGTACAAATCATTGTTTTCCTTCTAGCTATGACTTACTTGCCTGCTCTAATGTCTGGTATGTTATAAAAGGATGCCATTTAAACCTTCTTTGCTTCCTTTGTGAAACACACATAACACAGAGATAGCTGGTTGAACACTGTAAAGGCCAGAGCTGCAGCTCAGGCACCATTGTTGTGTTGGTTTGGGTCCTATGAGAAGCAGATGCCAAAAGGAGATTAAATATACAAGGATTTTTATTGGTGGGGAGCCTGTGAGAAAAAATTGCAGAAGGGCACAAAGAAGGCTGGGAGAGTCATCAGACCAAAATGCAAGCCTGATGCCTGACCCTGAGTGAAGGGGAGATGGAGAAGGAAGGCTGCTGGGAATGTCCTAGACTAGAACAGTCTGAGGAAAGCTCGGCACAGCTGTTGGGGAGTCTAAAGGTGGCTGTCAAAGGAATTCATTGTCTTTGAAAACGAGCCTTACCATTGCTGCTTTTCTCAGTCACTGACTGTGGACAGTCCAGAGGAGGTGAGGTCTCAGTGCGAATGTGGTAATAGATTCCAGAGCACACGGTGGGGCCGTCGTCAGTTAACATCCTGTTGTTGGAGGTCTGCCAGGCACATTCTGCAGACCATGATCACAAACAGGAAAACTAATTGTATTTCCCAATACTTGCTTTCAGACTGAAAGGGCTCTACTGTAGGAAAGTGGAGGAGAAGCGCATCTTTCGGGAAGTTCTGTCTTACCCTATCAGCTTCTAGTTGGCCATTTGACAGTATCAGGAGACATTCTTCCCTATACTCCTTACACAATTGCAGAGCAAGTGGTTCTTAATCTCTGTTGGGTCACAAGAGCCTTTGAGAATCTGATAAAAACTATGCATTCTCAATCAGTTGCACACATTGTTAAACAAAATAAGCACAGACACATAAAATACATGGATTCAAAGAGAGACTCATTTCAAGGACACTCACACTCCTAGAAGGTCTTTTGAGTTAACTCATACTGAATCTTTGATTACCATATAATTCAGTAATTGTTCTGTTGGCTGACACAGGTATGGAGAACAAATAAGAAACGTTTCACACTGTGCTTCATGTTTCTCTCCTTGGCAGGGATATTGAGATACTAGGCAGAAGCCAGGTTTAGTAGGGCCCCAATGCAGAATGTTTGAAACCTAGTAATTTGACAAATATTAAGGCCCTAATATTTGTCTAGCATTATTGTAAGAGATAGAACAGATGTAAGTATAATAAATCTTCCCTATCCACGACAAGCTAACAATTTCACACTCTCAGCAGTCCATTCTTTCAGCAGTTATTCCACATTTACCTATTTGAGGCACCATGCAAGGTATTGGGGAGACATAGATGATTCTATCCTCAGGGAGCACTCATTCTGGTAGAGGAGATGGACACGTGAGTCAGTAAATTGCAAGGAACTGCACAAGGTAGCCCATGAAGGAAATAAGTGACTCAGTGGAGGGAGAGAACAGGTACAACTTTCTGGAAGAGGTGTCTCTGAGCTGGCCTTTGAAGGATGAATATGACAAGTTACAAAATCATGTAGGGCTTATGGGAGAGTGGGAATCCATGTGGAAATGCATGGGAACCTGGAGCAATTTGAAGATAAAGTTTAAAGTGGGAATCAGATTACAATTGTTTATTTGCATGAGTAAATCTACAGAAAATATGGACCAGATAATAAAATATATTCAAATACGTGTGTGTGTTGATACAACTAAACATTCAACTGTGCACTACAGAAAACTAGAGACTAGGTTATAATTAACACAGTTTTACATAAAACCAAGGAGGGCCTTTTACCCAGAAAGGCCCACTGCTGGCCAAACGAGGTGTGTGCAGAGCAGTGAGCCAGTGGGTTCCGGGTTTGGGACCACTCCAGTCTTCAGCCATTCTTGTTGCCTACAAACGTTCTGAGGACCAGCCTTAACTTCAGTCAATATCCACTTGGTTGTAATTGGATTGTTAATAGATTCTGTCCCTGGGATCATCTCCAGTGTATTGAGTACCCGCTCTAAACTACCTGGGAATATTAATCAGGATCCCAGCAGGAAATGGAGGCTCCCCTCAAAGAGTTTAAAGAAGGGATTGTTTGCAAAGGTTGTGAGCAGGGTTAAGGGAAACCAACAGGACGTGTGAAGCACAGTGAGCAGCATTTTCTGCCCTAAAACCCGAAGAAGTCAGGGAGGCGAGCATCCCCCAAAGGAGCAAGGCCTGTGCCTGTCACTAGAAGAGGGCTGTTGGCAACAGGGGTGTGATACCCCCAGCCACGTTCTTCCTATTCTCCCTCCAGTCTTTTGCCAGGCCTCCCATTGGCAGAACCCAACTGTTACCCTCAGGGTGAGGATGTGCATTGATGCAGTTCATAAGATCAGCCCCTTGGGCTACAGAGCACAGACAGAGGAATGGATGGTGGCTGCAGAGGGCAAAGGGAGCCTCTGGGTTTGAATCCTGGCTCCATCACTAGTTAGTTTGTGTGATCCTGGTCAGGTTACCTGAACTTCTCTATTCCCTGGCTTCCTCATCTGTTAATTAAATGGGAATGACAGTAGCACTGTATCATGAAGTTATCATGAAGATGAATGAGTAACTCGGGTAAAGCAATACTGTTGCTGGTATCTAGAGGCCACTAACAATTGTATTATGATGAAAACATCATTTCTGTTATTCACATTTTACAGATAAATGGAGTGAGGCACCCAAGCTCTCACATATATGCTAAGTGGCAGAGCCGGAGTCCAAACAGTGAATTCCAAGCCCAGAGTCTTAACCATTATGTCTAACCATGGTTAGAACAACAGCAACCCAACAAAGAACCTGTCATTTTATTTCTTGTTCTGTCTCCCCCAGGCATCCTGTCCCCACCTGCACTCCACACGTATCTGGAATCTAGCTGAAGCTGCTATCTGCCTAGGTCTTGGAATTGTGAAACCCATCCCTGAAAGCCTGGGTGATTTCTCCAGGGATCCAGGAGCTACCTCTGTCCCCACCTTGCTTCCTGCAGGCTGGATAGTCAGACTCTTGTGAATAGCTAATTGTGCCAGTTCCTCCCTTACTTAGAAGATAGCAGGCCCTTGAACCTCCCCGTCATAGTAGGCAGAGCAGATGTAGGATGGATGTGTTCAGACAAGGAGAGACAGCCACTGGGATGCTCAGAGAAGGCTTTCTGGAAGGATAGTTTTGCTCTGGACTTTAAAGATTACATAAGTTTCACTAGTCAGAAAAAGACTGCTTCACAAAAAAGCCATCCTGCTCAGGAGCAGCCCGTACGTAACTTTACTTAGGAGGACAGCAGGTGGACAGCAATGAAGAACCCAGAAAAATCTCTCTTAGATCTGTCTTTAGCCACCCTGCCCCACACATGGTGACCACTTGGGTACAGGTGGGAAGCAGAGAACCCACTCTCGGCATAAATTGCATGTCAATTGCAAAATTGTGGCTATGGCTGTCACTTCACTTGCCAAGTATTTTCTTGTGGATTTCTGATTTTAATGCATGATTTTCAGTGAAAATTTTTATGACATATGACTTTGGTTTTCAGATTTCAAGACCCTTTGTTTTGTGCAAATCAACGTTATTGATATCAATGATCAGATCCCCATCTTTGAAAAATCAGATGTGAGTAGTTGTCATTATTTTTCTTTACTTTGTTCATTTTACTTGACCCTTTCTTCTGGGATGAAGACACAGACAATAGCTAGGAAAAGTGCCAGACTTAACAGGTAATCTTGATCAGTGCACCAATAACCCAGAGGCCATCTTCAGTGAAAATCTTTGGGGAACAATAACACTATTATAGGTGTCTGGGAACATTTGTTTACAAACTCCTGCCAATAGCTCATTTATTCCAAGGGTTTCTTAAAAACAACCACCACAGTCTTTGTCAAATTGAAAAAAGTTGAATGGCGGCTTGCAGTTTGTCATTATATATTTTTGTGTATAGGACAATAAATAGATTTACTGCTAGGTCTCAAGCATTTTTAGTCAAAAATTTAATATTTGGAATATTAGCAATTTAATTTGTAATAATTGGGTAAGAGAAAGGAAGAAGAAAAAATTAATCTATGACTTAAGCCAAAGAAAATGTGTCCAAGGCATTTGAGAGAATTCTAACTGGACAGAAAGAAAAAAGTCAATTTAGAACCTCAAGAAAAATGCAAATTACTATTTTCTTATCATTGATAGGGCGTTCAGACTTGGTGATGACTTTATCATTGTTTCCCTTAGGAGGGAAGTCTCTATTTATTTTGAAGGAGCAAGAAGCCCATTTGACTAGACAGTTACGTTATTTTTGAAGTCAGTTATGATGCAGCCCAGAGCCCTGTGATGATGTTCATAAATCAAAATAGGGACAAGGCTCTGACAAAGAAAGGAATTGATTTATGAGGGGGATAGGGGTGGGAAGAGGTGTGAGTGGATATGTCTTGTGTAATAGGCACTGAGGTTCAGCAGGCATCAAATAACTCATTTCTTCTCAGCCTCCATTCTCTTGGGCATTTGATCCTTTGCTAACTTTGTGACCTCCTTGCCTTTTATCGAGACAGTGTTTTTTAGATTGAGGGTAAGAATCCTGCACTTGAGGTCTCAGAGCTTAAATACTTATCTGGCGACAGAGAGAGTGAACCTGCTTCTTTCAATGCCGTGGTCCTCTCTCCTGATCCCTACTTAGAACCCTCTTTAGAATCATAATGCCAAGAGAGACGATCTGGGGGATTTTTAGCGGAGTGGGAGATGGTCTAGGCCAGTGTTCAAGAGAACAGGCTTTGGAGTTGCACAAACATGGCTTTGAATCCCAATCCTGTGACCCACTAGCTGTGTGACCCTTGGTGGGTTTAACTTCTCCAAGCCTTTGCTCCTCGTAAGTGGAGATGGTAACATAACTACTCCATACGATGTTTTGTTGCTTTTCTTTACTGAGCACTTACTATGTGCCAAGAATTTAGGAGCTTTACATGCATTGTCTCCCTTAATGCCCACAGCAAACATGAAGTAGTTGCCATTACTATTGTCTTCATTGGACAGATGATGAAACTGACACTTAAAGAAGTGAAGTAACTTGCTTCAAGCCACCCAACTAATAAAAAGCAAGCCTATGATTCATATTCAGGCTGTTTAACCCTAAAGTTCAAGCTTTTAATCAACCTCCATTCATTGGTTGATTTAAGAATTGATTAAATAATGTATATAAAGTGCCTACCACCTGATACTCAATACATGGTGGCTATTTATATCATTACTACTACAATAATTAAGTTATTTAACAAATTGGATATAGAAGGGGGAATTTGTTTTAGAATCCTACCAGTAGCTCTCTGAGATATTGTGTTCTTTGGTACAATGGATATCAGCTCATGAGTATGACTGATGTTAAAATCAACTGCAATATATTCATCAATAGGAAAAAACATGCCCCATGAAGATTGATGCAAACTATGACTTGTGTCTATTCTGAAACCAGAGAGATAAGTTTGTCCTTTGGCTTTGATGACAACAGACCTCATTGTTTCCTTCTCCATTTTCTCCTTAGTATGGAAACCTAACTCTTGCTGAAGACACAAACGTTGGGTCCACCATCTTAACCATCCAGGCCACTGATGCTGATGAGCCATTTACTGGGAGTTCTAAAATTCTGTATCATGTCATAAAGGGAGACAGTGAGGGACGCCTAGGGGTTGACACAGATCCCCACACCAACACCGGATATGTAATAATTAAAAAGGTAAATAGCCCATTTATTTAATATAATTTGTCTTTGTTTATGGGTTAATTTACTAATGACAGTGTGAGGATCTATAAGCAGAGGTGATGTATTAGCAGCCGCCTCTCAGGCATGGTGATGGGTTCCTGGATGCCTGGATTCCTCTTAGTCATTCCTGTCTTCCTGACAGATGGAAAGTCAGGGTTCTAGACCTGGCTCTGTCGCTAGTTAGCCAAGTAAATTTTATAGGGAGGTAATGTCACATAAAATATATAAAATGCAGGATGAACAACTTTTTAGTATAAGTGTGTTCCTTCATAATGCCAAGAGAGACGATCTGGGGGATTTTTAGCGGAGTGGGAGATGGTCTAGGCCAGTGTTCAAGAGAACAGGCTTTGGAGTTGCACAAACATGGCTTTGAATCCCAATCCTGTGACCCACTAGCTGTGTGACCCTTGGTGGGTTTAACTTCTCCAAGCCTTTGCTCCTCGTAAGTGGAGATGGTAACATAACTACTCCATACGATGTTTTGTTGCTTTTCTTTACTGAGCACTTACTATGTGCCAAGAATTTAGGAGCTTTACATGCATTGTCTCCCTTAATGCCCACAGCAAACATGAAGTAGTTGCCATTACTATTGTCTTCATTGGACAGATGATGAAACTGACACTTAAAGAAGTGAAGTAACTTGCTTCAAGCCACCCAACTAATAAAAAGCAAGCCTATGATTCATATTCAGGCTGTTTAACCCTAAAGTTCAAGCTTTTAATCAACCTCCATTCATTGGTTGATTTAAGAATTGATTAAATAATGTATATAAAGTGCCTACCACCTGATACTCAATACATGGTGGCTATTTATATCATTACTACTACAATAATTAAGTTATTTAACAAATTGGATATAGAAGGGGGAATTTGTTTTAGAATCCTACCAGTAGCTCTCTGAGATATTGTGTTCTTTGGTACAATGGATATCAGCTCATGAGTATGACTGATGTTAAAATCAACTGCAATATATTCATCAATAGGAAAAAACATGCCCCATGAAGATTGATGCAAACTATGACTTGTGTCTATTCTGAAACCAGAGAGATAAGTTTGTCCTTTGGCTTTGATGACAACAGACCTCATTGTTTCCTTCTCCATTTTCTCCTTAGTATGGAAACCTAACTCTTGCTGAAGACACAAACGTTGGGTCCACCATCTTAACCATCCAGGCCACTGATGCTGATGAGCCATTTACTGGGAGTTCTAAAATTCTGTATCATGTCATAAAGGGAGACAGTGAGGGACGCCTAGGGGTTGACACAGATCCCCACACCAACACCGGATATGTAATAATTAAAAAGGTAAATAGCCCATTTATTTAATATAATTTGTCTTTGTTTATGGGTTAATTTACTAATGACAGTGTGAGGATCTATAAGCAGAGGTGATGTATTAGCAGCCGCCTCTCAGGCATGGTGATGGGTTCCTGGATGCCTGGATTCCTCTTAGTCATTCCTGTCTTCCTGACAGATGGAAAGTCAGGGTTCTAGACCTGGCTCTGTCGCTAGTTAGCCAAGTAAATTTTATAGGGAGGTAATGTCACATAAAATATATAAAATGCAGGATGAACAACTTTTTAGTATAAGTGTGTTCCTTGCAATATTTGGGACACACTTATACTAAAAAGTTGTTTGTTATTTATCTGAACTTCAAATTGAACTTAGTGTTTTATGTTTTTATTTTTTACTTTTATTTTTTTATTATTATACTTTAAGTTCTAGGGTACATGTGCACAATGTGCAGATTTGTTACATATGTATACATTTGCCATGTTGGTGTGCTGCACACTTAACTCATCATTTACGGTTAGGTATATCTCCTAATGCTGTCCCCCTCTTCCCCCAAATAGGCCCAGTGTGTATGTTCCCTTACGGTGCCCAAGTGATCTCATTGTTCAATCCCACGTGTGAGTGAGAACAGCAGCGGTGTGTTGGTTTCCTGTTCTTGCAATAGTTGCTGAGAATGATGTGTTCAGCTGCATGCCAGTCCCATACCAAAGGGACGATAAAAATCATCCTTTTTTAGGTGGCTGCATAAGTATTCCATGCTGGTGTATATGGTACAATTCTTAATTCCAGTCTGTCACTGATGCAATTTGGGTTGATTCCAATCGTTTGGCTATTTGGATACTGCTGCAATAAAATAACATTGTATGTGTCTTTATAGCAGCACGCATTTATAATTCTTTGGTGGTATATCCCCAGTAATGGGATGGGCTTGGTGCAATGGTATTTCTAGTTCTAGGATCCTTGAGGAATCACCACACTTGGTCTGTCCACAGGTGGGTTGGAAACTAGTTTACAGTCCCACCACAGTGGTAAGAGTGTTTCTATTTCCCACATCCTCATCCAGTGGCCTCGTTTGTTCCTGATTTTTTAATGATTGCCATTCGTAACTGGGTATGAGATGGTATCTCATTTGTGGTTTTTGATTTGACATTCTCTGATGCGGAGTGTGATGGATGAAAAGCATTTTTTAGTGCTGTTGGTGGTGTGAATGTTCTTCCTTTGAGAAGGTTTGTTCATATCCCCCCCCTTTGTTTTTGCCACTGTGATGGGTTGTGTTTTTTGTAACATTTTGTTGAGTCTCGGGGTTCTGGATATGAGCCTTTTCAGATGAGTAGATTGCAAAATTTTCTCGCCATTCTGTAGGTGGCCTGTCACTCTGATGTTGTTTCTTTGCGGTGCAGAAGCTCTTTAGTTCAATTAGATTCCTATTTTGTCAATTGGCTTTGTTACGTTTGCTTTGGGTTTTAGGACATGATAGTCATTGGCCCTTGGCCTATGTCGCCTGAATTGGTATTACCTTAGGTTTTCTTTCTAGTTTTAGGGTTTTAGGTGAACATTTTAGTCACAATCGTCTTGGAATTAATTTCAGTTATAAGAGTAAAGGGAAAGGATCCAGTTAGGCTTCTACGTATGGCATATGGAATGTCCCAGCATCATTTATTAAATAGGGAATGCCTTGCCCCATTTTCTTGGTTTTTGTCATGTTTGTAAAAGAATCAGATGACTGTTAAATGTGTGGTATTATTTCTGAGGCTCTGTTGCTGGATCGTTGGTTATGAATTCTCTGTTTGGTACCAGGACTGCTGTTGGGTTTACTGTAGGACTTTGTTAGTATAGTTGAAGGCAGGGTGCGTGATGCCCTCAGTTTTTTTTGGCTTAGGATTGTCTTGCAATGCAGGGCTCTTTTGGTTGCTGTATGAACTTTAAAGCAGTTGGTCCCAATTCGGTGAAGAAAGTCATTGGTAACTTAAGAAAAAAAATTTTTGGGGGATGGGGCATGACTTCGTATAAATACTTGGAGCAGTATGGGCATTGA